CGACTCCCAACGCGGCGCGAGCTTGAAGTTGGCCGATGGGTACTCGACGAAGCCTTTCTTGAGCGCCGTCGGCGGGAGCTCCGCCAAGCTCGCAATCAGCGTGTCTTCATCAAGGTGGATCGCGACTGCCTTGGGCATATGTGGGAAACCTCGGCGGATGCTCGAACCAGATGGCTACTGATGCGATTCGAAACGTCCAAACTGAACGGCGTCTCGTTAGGACTTATTCCTATGCAACTGGCATTGTCGGGTTTCCTCCTCAACAAAAACAAAGTGGGTAGGATCCTTTGGCGTGAGACTCGATGGGGCAGGGTCGGACACGCGCGGGGTTGCGCTCCATTGGGGTTCCAACCAAGGAGTCCTAGGATGGGAGGAGGGGGAAGATCAGGAGGGGGCGGAGGAGGTGCACAAGAGAAGGGGGAGTTGGGGGGAGGCGGGAGGAAGGTGGAAGACGGATCTTTTAAGGCCCGAGGGGATTCTAGGCCAAAAACAGGCGTCAATATTTTTAAAAAAAATTGACGCTCGATTTTGGGATGTTCACGGCCCTATCTACACGCGCACTAAGAAAACCCGTTAACAAACATGTAAGGGAGGAGGTGAAGAGGAGGTGGAGGAAGACTTTCTGAGAGCAGCGGGAGGAGGATGCTGAAGAGGAAATAGATGAGGACACTGAGAAGGGAGGAGGAGACCCTGTCCTGTCCTTCCCCATTCGAGCGCCACGTCAATATCACCTTCGCGATGCGTGCTCTGGGCCTCGGCACTTGTAGCAAGATTTCATCCGTTTAGGGTGCTCACGCTCCCGAGGGTTACCCGAAAAAGTTAGCAGGAGCGCAGGGTACAGTGGAGCCCTGGGGGGGGGGCCTCGGGAGCGGTGGAACGGCAGCCGACCACGGGTCGGCCTGCCCCACGCGGGGCGGGCCTACAGGCTATGAGAGTGGCGAGCACGCAGCCAACTCAAGGGCGGCGGGGACTCAAAGGCCACTCCCACCACCCAAGAGCACGACTACGCACTAGCCAGTCCCGCAACCCACTACGTCTACTTCTACTTCTACTTCTACTTCTGCTTCTACTTCTACTTCTATCATTATCATTATTTTTACTACTATTACTACTACTAGTACTTCTAACTCTTCTCGGGACGAATCTTCGAAGCTGGTCTGAAGCCACCCGAAGACCTACGGCCAAGGGTTTGGGCATCCAGCCCACCCGATCGGTTCCCTGGGTTTCGGAACCCAACTCCCGCCGACCACGCCCCCCCCCGCAGCACGAGGGGAAGGGGAGAAGCCAGCCAGACAGGAGCCAGCACTCAGGCAGCACAGCGGAGGAGCCCAAGCGAAAGCGAGAGGGAAGGCGAGAGGAGGGAGCCAGCACAAGCCCGCAGCATGGCAGTAGCAAGGGGGGGGGGCGTGGTCCATATTACTGTTTACTGCTGCGGGTGCGCTTCTTCCTCCTTCTCCCTCTCCTGTTCCTTAGTCTCTTCCTCTTCCTCCTCCTCTTTTCCTCCTCCTCCCCCTTCTCCTCCTCCTCCTCCCCAACACGTCCTCCTCCTCCTCCTCCACTTCCTCCTCATCTCATCGTACACGGCTGTGCAATGCTAGATCACGCCTTGGCGTGATTTCATTGTTAAACCACGCCACGCGTGATGGGGCCGATTCGTTTTGGAGCCACGCGTCAAAAATATGGTTGCATTTTGCTGAAAAAAGGCGCGTGCGACAAGAATTCAGACGCGCGCGTTGTTTTTGCGAGTGGTTTTGTGGCACACGCTCCAGATTTCAAACGCGTGCGTTACATATTTGGAGCGGTGGAAGGTCGGGGTCCGATCGCGCCGAAAAGAGGCCATTCCAATACACATTTTTCTTTCGAAAATGCTGAATTTCTGCTTGCGGCGCCCGGGAAGCCGTCCTGGGCCGATTCTGGAGCGGTTTTGGGCCGGACGCCCGAGCCGGCGCCCGTACGTGGTGCTTCTTTGCTTCTGGCGCCTGCGCAGCTTCCCGAGCCGCTTCTGGAACCATATCTGGGCCGGTCCAGCGATAGGTTTCCTGGATGTGCTGAGCCATCCAACTTTTGGAAACTTCTGCGTCTCAAGGATAGGGAGAGAAGACATTAAAGGAGGATCAAAAAGCAACGTCGCTATGAACGCTTGGCTGCCACAAGCCAATTCTACTTACTTGGACTACTACTACCGTTACCACTACTACTAGTGCTACAGCCGCAACAACAATATCATCAACTGCTGCTACTACAACTACTCATCCTTCCTCCCCCTCCTCCCCCTCCCTTCTCCTCCTCCCCCTCCCTATCTCTCTCATCTCCCCCTCCTCTTCCTCTTCCTCTCCCTCTGAGATGCGGGGCATGCGCAAGGCGATTGCGAAGGCGATGTGCCGTCCGAGCTATGGATGTTGAAGTTCCTCGGAAGAGGTGGTGGCCAAACCTTCTTGGGCGGGATATCTGGGTGAGGGAATATCGGATCCCGCATGCCAGAAAAATCCCCCATGATGGGGTGTGTTATCCAGATGGATGCATGTGTCATGTGGAAGCATGGCGCATGAGGGTAAAATGATTGTTGTTGTTGTTGTTGTTGTCGAACTCTCACTCTTGAAGAATAATTATTGTTGATCCCCCCCCACCGGTGCACATTGATTTTTTCGATTGAAGTGCCACCCCCGGGGCTCGCACCTTGTTTTTTCTCAAGGAAAGTCTTCCTGCTCAGAGTCGGGCTATGGGGGTCTTTACAAAAGGGGTCACAGAAGTTGTACGCAATAGTACATGCAATAGTTCATGCAGGAGACGCGCGTCGTGCGATAATAGCACATCGTCGCTACGCTCGCATTCGTTCGGATCTTGAAAACATGGTGAACATGATAAAACGTTGGTTTCGTGAGCGACGGTGTGGGTTGGGTTCCCTCCCCGCCCCGCCCCCATGTTGTGACATCAAATGCGTTGATGTATTGTCCCCTCCTCCCTCTTCGCGTTTCCTTATCCTCTTCGTTCCCCCTCTTCATCTTCATTCCCTTGCTCCTCCTGTGCTTGTCCCTCCTCCCCCTCCTTTCCCCTTCTCCCCCCCGTTCGGCTGCGGGCCCGACCGCGGCCTCAATCGACGCGCGTTTCGAAACGAGAGCAGGGTGGCGGAGAGGGGGGCGGCGGGGGGAGGGGGGGGCATGGGGGAGGGAGGGGCGGGGGGATGGCGCCGCTCACCTGGGTTCCTTCCTTCTTCCCGCTGGCAAGCCACGAATTGCGAGCTCCCCAGCGCGCCTGAGTGATACGCCCCATTGCCCTGTTTGTAATATATCGAACGTCGTTCGGCATTGTTGTTCCCAGGGGGTGATCGCAACGTGCGGTCTGACAGACTGAGTGGCTGAAGTCGCTGCGCGTTCGTGGTAGTTTGATTGTTCGGCGCCACATGGCGCAGCCCACATCGCAGCCAAGAGTGGTCCACTGAAAGCTTTGGTGGCTGAGGGCGTAACCCATGGCCCAACCCATGGCGCATTTGCGAGTGCAATCATTTGCGCAACCGCCGGCGCTCCCATGACGCGAACAAATGGCGCAACCAATGGCGCAGCTTGTGGCATCGAATCCAACATCGTAGCAGGTTGCGCAACGTGCGGCGCAGTCGGATTGTTTACCGATTGACCGTGCGTGCCTTGAACAAAGGTTCCCAAGGTGGCCCCCGATTCTGTAAATTTGAGATGTCCACGAGGTGGCTCCTGTCCACCTGCTCGGGGGAATATTGTGGCTCCTTGGCGGGCCGTGCGGGGCTCAACTGAACATTCTTGGTGCGCTCTCTGGACACTGGGGCAACCTGCGCAAGAGGGCTTTCACATGACATGTTTTGCGGCCCGCGGAGATCTCGAGACGGCCACGCGTTTCAGACAGCCTTGGAGGCCCCCCATGCCCCGACGGTGCCCAAGGAAACATTGACTACGCTCAAGAGGAAAAACGTTGTATACACACATATTGGCGTCATCTTCGATATGACGCAGGGCTTTCTTTCGCACCGCAGTGCGCGCATCGAAAGTCCAAGGGGCTTTCAACGGAAAGTTCTCACAGTTCCCGCCTGGCGGCCCCAGCGGGCCGCATAAACGACCGACTGGTTTGCTTGAGAAGCCCGTTTTGAGCAATTCCACATTATGTCCGCTGCGGCCCTCTTCGGACCTTTCGGGCCTCTCACGCGGCCCCCGAGATGCTCCATGGCGGCCCCGTAATATCCGAGAGAACCCCCAGAGTGCTTCCCAGGAAGCACGCAGGACGCTTGAGAGGAAACACATAATGATTCCTTATTCGCAGCCCTCTTGCTGCCATTTTGGGGGCCCCGTCACGGCCCCCACGTCGCGCCTGGGGGCGCAAGGTGGCCCGCCAGAACACGCCCTGGAGTCTTTCCATAAGGCCCCAAGACGGCCCCGATGCGTCATTTATTGAGTTCCCCAACAGCAAGCAAACAAGCAAACACAGCGCACCCCGAACGACAATCTCGCTGGGCCCTCCCAAGGGCCGTCAACATGGCGTGCTACAGTCCCTCCGCTCTCATGCTAACTCTTTCGTTCGGTACTCCTGCTGACTCGGGCGACATGCCGGGCGCGGCCCTTCGAGGCGGGGCCCAGTGGGCGAAACCCTGCAGCACTAGGCATCGATCGAGGCACGCGACCCAGTTTTTTGGAACGCAAGTGGGACGTCTCAGTGCAAGCACTGTCTGGGGAACAGGGGAGGAGGAGGAGCGGGGGAGGCAGTAGAAGCTGGGGGACGCGGCAGATGCGCTCGATCCATGTTCGAGTGACGCAGGGAACATGTCGAACAATATGCTGTTCACTACACGTGTTTTGCCATGGTTTTCTCTTTCCCCCCTTTTCCGCATCGCCCTTCCCGTCCTTGCGTCTGTGGCCCTTTTGCCTCGCAAGCTCTGGTGTTATCTGGTTCACTCTGCGATTGCTTTGCCTTCTGGCATCCGCAGCTATTTTAAGCTCTAGCTTTCTCTGCTCGCGGTGCCCTGCGTCGCTTGCCGGAGTATGGCTCCGAAGATCTCGGCCCAGGATCGCGCGAAGAAATTGCAGGAGAAGGGTATTGCTTTGGAGAGGAAGGCCGAGTACATGCTTGTATTTGCCAAGTTGAAGGATCATTACGAGCTTGTCGTTGAGATGAAAAAGAGGATGATTAACTTGGGCATTCTGACCGCCTCTGGCGAGGATAATCCTGATTATCGCCCCCCGAAGGCCTTAGGCGTCAAGGAGGAACTTGATGACAATGCGGGCACCCCCGTCAAGACGGAGGGCGGCGCTGGCAGCAAAGAGGACGATGCCGAAGAGATCGGCAATGTAGTTTTGCACCGGAACTTCGGCACATGGGGGTCAATCCCACCTAAGTATATGAAGTGGTTGCTGTCGCGCGCCGAGCCTGTTTCTCTCAGTCCATTTTCCCTCAAGGCGTTAACGAAACAAGGGGCCAGGGAACCACAGAGAGACCTCATGTTGGAGATCCTCGAAGCGATATCTGGTTTCACTCGGAGCGACAACATCGGCGAGAACAAGCTGCATCTCATCTCTGAGCGGGTCAACCAGGAGAATCAGCAGCGCGGCAGGATCTTGATGAATGTCGCTCCGCCTTTCGATTGGGAGTCTCTTGGGTTCTTTTCAGCCGCACTTGTGAAGGATCAGATTTACGAGTTGCTGGAAAAGTATGCGAATGTGAAGGTCCAGATCGCCCTTGACATCAAAGACGGCTCACCCGTGACCGTCGACATGAACTTCAGCAGGGCGAGGGCTGTATTGGTGTATACGAAGCCTTCCGGCAAGGTTGAGCGGATGAACTGCATGCAGATCTTCGTCGACGCAGGCGAGGGCCAGTCGCTGGGGAATTCGGGCGCCACGATCAATCGCCAGGCTTCGCCGTCGCAGGCGCGCTCGCCGATGACAGCGGCATGCGCACAGGCGACGCCACCCTTATCACCGCACGTTCCTGCGCCGGCCCCTTGCGGCAGGCCGACTGCCAGGAGGGCGGCGCCGTTGGGCGTTGCGGCCTCGTCGCCCCCCCCAGCGAAGATTGCGAGGCTTGGGCTGGCATCGCCATCGATCGAGCCTGCCGCGGCCGCCTGCGATGCGAAGTCGGGGAAGCAGGGCGGCGAGGAGAAGGCAGAGGTGGAGATCGCTGCCCTTCCCGAGCAGGTGGCCGAGGTTGCATCGCCACTAGCTGGCGCCTTTGCCGCCCCAGTGCTTCCACCTGACGGCGTGGACAGAGCCGAGGATCCCACGGTCGAACGCAGCCTGCCCCCCCCGCCCACGTGCTTTTTGAGGCCCCCAGAGCATGCCGCCGAGCCCACGGTTTCTGTTTGTAGACGGAGCCGCCCGATTTGCAATGGGAAACAGTTTTTTGACTAGCGCGCGGCAGTGCGCGCCAGCCTCTGTGCTCGCATGAGCGCTGATTGCCGTGATGTTTGCATTTTTTGGCGGGGGGGGGCCATGGGGGGCTACGTGGAGTCGCGCCCAGCAGTTTGGCAGCCCGAGGACGAGAGCGACGGTGGTGCCCGTCCCGCCGAGCTCTCCGCAAAGGATTCGGCCGCCCTGGGGGCCTTCGACGAGGCATCTTTCGTGCCGCCCAAGGAGGAGGACAAGGGGCAGTGAGGGGCTGTCTCTTTGCCTTGGCACGTCCTGGCCTACGGTCCAGGCTGGGATGTGTCAGTTTTTGCGCAACGCCTCAGGTTCAGTCGGCAGCGGTTCTTACCGCGCTAGCTTCGGTTGCCACCGTTTGGGCTCGGGCACCTCTTAGGGGCATGAGTGTCCGCGGGAGACTCTTGAGGTGCCGAGGCGTAGGTCTAGCTGTCAGCGCCGTGACCAGGGCAGCCCTGTGAGGGCGAAACTTCTGGGGAAAAGGGTCGTCGGCAATCCATTGGGTTTTTTTGGGCGGCCGCCCGCGGCTACGGTTTGGCCGCCCGCCTCTTTGCGCGTTCGCTTCGTTGCTGGTCCATTGCCGCCTCGTTTTCCCCATCATCGCCACCACATGGTCGCCATGATCCTGATGTATATATCCTCCTCTTCGCCGTTCTGCCCCCGCTTTTTCATCCTTGCTCCATCTTATTCGCCCTCATAGTTCCTCCTCCTCCTCCTCGTGGTTTTGCCTCCATCTACACAGGCTACTTTGTGTTCGATGCGCTTCGCGTAGCCCCATCAGCCCATCCAGAAACGATGCCCCAACGAGTTGCCCCGATCAGGGATGTGGAGGAGCATGCTTGGGGGGAAAAGCTGGGGAAGCCGCCGTGCCCCATATGGGGGGGGGATGGAGGAATAATCGGAGGAGGGTGAGGGGGGGGCGAGGGGGACGGGAGGAGGGGCAGGAAGAGGAGGCGGAGGAGGAGACGGAGTAGGAGGCAAAGGAGGAGTTGGAGGAGGAGGAGGGAAAGGAGGAGGAGGAGGAGGAGGAGGCGGATGACGAATAGGAGGGGGAGGACGAGTAGGAGGAGACGGGGCAGGGCGAGGATGAGGAGGATGAGGAAGAGGAGAAGGAGGAGGAGGAGGAGGAGGAGGAGGAGGAGGAACAGGAAGAACAGGACGAGGGTGAGGACGAGGAGGAGGAGGAGGAAAAGGAGGACGGAGGGAGGAGGAGGAGGAGGAGGAACAGGAACAGGAAGAACAGGACGAGGGTGAGGACGAGGAGGAGGAGGAGGAAAAGGAGGAGGAGGAGGATGCGGAAGGAGGAGGGGGAGGAGGAGGAGGAGGAGGAGGAGGAGGAGGAGGAGGAGGAGGAGGCCGAGCAGAAAAGGCCAGAGGTTTTCTGGATATTTCTCGGAAGGTTCCTGGGGTCCTTTTGGGCGTATCGGATGCCTCTTGGCAGCGGGTGTCGTGGGGGCCTCGGGAGAGCCTCTTGGAGCTTGGGGGTTTTCTCGGAAGCCTGTTTGGGGCCTCCTGTGGCCTCTTGAGCGTCTCCTCGGCGCCTCTTGGGGTTCACTTGGGAAGGTTGGGTGTCATCTTGGGACCAAATTGGGGGAACCCGATCTCAGAGGGGCATCTAATCGACGCCCTCCCCCCAAGAGGCAAAACGTAACCCCAAACCTACGTGAGCAACAGTGATGCTCGCGCTCTCGTCGAGACCATCTTGGGGCCCTCAACGACCCGCGAAGCCTCGCGGGCAGGTCCAGCCGGGGTAGGGAAAGAGGGCCCCCCCGAAGGGAAACAAAGGCGGTCGGATGAGGGAACTCGGTAAACAACTCTGGGCCTAGAGAGCTTGCAGGCTATCGGCCACGCGGCGGGGACAGATGGGGACCAGAGCCCCCAGGCGTCAGAAACAGTTCAACATGCACCGAGATAGCATTGCGAATGTACCGGCCGATCCTCGATGTTTGGCTGCGCTGGCCCGTCGGGGTTCAGGGTGAGGATAACGCTTGTTTTATGTGCAGCCGTCGTTGGGTTGCAATTTCGACGTGCCAGCCTATCCTTGAGTTTTGGCGGCGCCTGCCTATCGGGGCCAGGGGTGAGGAAGAAAACGCGGTTCAAATGCAACCGCCTTGGGGGGGCGCGTTGGGCCATGCGCATGGCCGTCCTGTTTTCTGCTTCCCCAGTTCCCAATCGGCCGGATCAGGGAAGAAAAAGATTCACATTTTGTTGCGGCCAGTCTTTGTCCTGATCCGCCCACTGCTTGTGCAGACACGGTGGAGCGGACATATCGCGCCCCCCTCTTCGCCGCGCCATCTACCGTTGGCGTCCAAACCGGTGCCTGATTACTGCGGGGCAGGCGTTTCAGCGGACAGGAATCGTTTTTTTTTTTTTTTTGTTTTTTTTTTTTTTTTTTTTTTTTTTTTTTTTTTTTTTTTTTTTTTTTTTTTTTTTTTTTTTACGAGGGCCGGGGTCCCACGACGCACGCAAACACTCGCACAGACAGGCCGCGCGCTGGGGGGGGGACACTTTGTTAACCACCTTCCGTCCCCCCGTGCATCGATGCAACCACGGCCAGACTGGGCATTGGCTTCCCCCCAGCCGCGGGCACAGCACGTGCGGGCAATCCCGAGCGAGGGAAAAGAGAAGGAGGCGCAGGAGGAGGAGGAAGAGGAGGAGAAGGAGGAGGTGGAGGAAGACGAGGATTTTGACACCGGCGTCAAGCGCCGCGAAATGCACTGCATAACCACATGTTGTTGAAGGGGGCAGTGACTCGTTCTTGCGAGGTTTTCCCACGCTCCAAAACAGCAGGCACGGGGGGTTGGGGGATGTAGGGGGAGGAGGAGGAGGAAGAAGCGGGACGGAGGGGGCGGAGTGGGCGTCCTCGACCGCGCAAGTTTTCAGGATGCGAGGTGTTTCCCAAGTAGTCGTGGGCGGTGCGGGGCCACGGATTGCGGTGCGATGTGTCGTTACATTTCGGAGACATTTCGGCGCGAGGTGGGCGTGAAGGGTCACGCAAACGTCTCGTCCGACATATCCTGGGCATGGCTTTCGCCGACGCTCGCGATCGCGAGGCCCTGTATCAAGGGCGCCTGCGGCGAACCCCCGCCGCCCCGTGCTTCCGTGGAGACGTTTGTGGCCAAGCTTGGGCCAAGCAAGTGGGCCATGCGTTCCTTGTAGTTCCGCGCCCTCCGCTGTCGAGCTCCCTGCGGGGGCGCTCGGGGGGGAAACCGGCAGACATGCGTGTCCAGGCTTACCTTAGCTGCATTGGTTCACGGTCGATGCGTGCACGTTCACAGATCGAGCATATACGGTCATCAACTGATGGGCCAACATAGATTCGGACGTGCGTGTTTATTTTGAGATATGTTTTGTAGGACATGGGTGTGCGTTGGCAGTCGTCCGAACATGCAATGCCTTCGTTTGTCTTCAGTGTTGTGTCTTTTCGGGCACAATCGTGTGTTACGACCAAATGTTTTTCATGTGCAGGTTGTCGACCATGCATGATCAGCGTGTGCGCGTGGCGACGCAGCATGTTTCAATGTGTGTGTGTGCGTGTGTGCGCCAGGTCGAATTACACCTGCTTGTGCAACCCATGTTTTTAATTGATAATCGAGTTTTTGTGTACGCGTTTGGTTGTTTTGGATATGTGGCATGTCAATCGGAAGTTTGGTTCCGAAGCTGTCGAGCGGGCCTCAGCAATAAGCGCCCTGGGGGCATCCCAAGAGGCACCCACGATGCATGCGGCAGGCGTTTGTCCCGAGGCCAGGGCGCGCTTGCTAACTGGGCCGAGAGCTGCCTGATCCGAGCGGTTGCGTGACGTGCCAAAATATGGGTTCTCCCAGGTTTGCTCAGCTGAAATTCCAATAGCGCGCGGCGTGATCCGCCGGGTGCATGTCCCGATGATTTGTGTTGGTCGATCTGGCCCCATGATGATTTCAAAAGTGTTCCCAAATCACCCTGGATGATTCAACGTGCCTTCCAGGGCGGCCCCGAAGTAATCCCAAGGCGGACAATTTGGCCCGAGTGCTTCAAATTAGGCCTTCGAAGTGGGTCGCGTCGGTTCCGAGATAACTCAGGATGGTCTTACACCCTGTTCCGGTGCCCCCCCCTGCCGAGGGCCCGTGGGCGAAGTGACAATTATGCCTTGGGCTAACCGCTCGGGATGGACAACCCCGCGTCACCCGAGTATCGAACAATCTGGGCCCCCCCAGGTTCAAAAGGGGGCCAGCGCCAACCGACGCAGGAAAATCGAACGGCCCCCGCGACCTCCCACCCTGCGCGCAGCGGCGCGCTGGCGGATCGACAGTTGTCAGCTGTGGATTCCGCTGGGCGCCATGTGGTTATTGAATCGAAGGCGTGGAAATACGTCGGCATGGCAGATCCGCTGTGTTGTTGGGAATTTCGTCGCTTCGTGCCCGTGTTATTGTACAGGTGGAAACAGGCCAAGCCGAGCAAGGTTTTTCAGGCTTTGAGGTTGGATGTTGCGCAGTTGGCCGACGCGCTGCAGATGCCTGTAGCACGTCACACGTTCCTGTCCCTGAGAGCAGAAGCGGAGAGGGTGAAGAAGGGAGGACAACCGACACCACCGCAATCACAACCTTTCATCTCACGGCCTCCGGCTCATCCCACCACGTGCCAGGGTTATGGGTCGTAGGCTTCTTGGACGTTTAAGTGGATGTCCCGAGAGGGCTTTCCAGGGCCTGTTGGAGGCAGTTTCGGATTTTTTTGGGGGCCGTTCTGGGGCCTTTCCAGGGGGCATGGCGGCGCGTTTGGATGCTGCTTGGGGCCTCTTGGGTTCCTCTTGGAGCCTCCTGGGGGCATGTTGGGCCAGAGAGCTCGAATCGCCGTTTCGGGCTTCCCCTCTTGGTCCCCAGGTGAGGCCGCCTTGGGACGCTCTTGGACCCTCGGGTCGCCTGGGGCGCCCCCCCGGGGTATTCGTTGGCAGTCTTAGGGTTCTCTTGGGGGGCTCGTCGGCCCTCTAGGAGCGATCTCGGAAGCTTGCTGGGCCGTCTGGGACGCCGTGGTGCCGACGGACCGTGTAGATTAAATCATCATTTCCTGCTGAGAATTTGACGCGGTGTTTGCATCTTGTGGCCCGCTTGGACGGCCTTTCAGGTTTCGTATCGTCGCGGGGCGTCCCTGGCGCGTCTTGCTGCCGTCTTAAGGCCGTCTTGGACGTGTAGAAAGAACGGATGGGGATCCAGAGCCCCTCGGGCCAGTTTTGGGGTTTGCTCGTCTCGGGGCCCTCAGGGGGCCCGAACAAGTAATGCGACGATGCGCGGGGGGGGGGGCGCGCAACGAACCCGAGGAGAATCAGCAATTTGGTGCCTGGGCCTCGGAAGGTACCCCAAGCATTCGGGGCTGATGTTTCGAGGGCTTCGGCCCCGAACCTGAGGACGTCCCGCCTCGCGCGTCAGAGCACGGTGGCGGTTCCGCGGCGAGTATTCTGTCACGACGGAGGCCTTGCTAATGTGGTTGCTATACCATTCGAGCAGTCGGAAGTTGGAGTCGCACAGGGTCCGCGCGCAGGCGATGATCTTGGCGCTGCTGTGCTGTTTCCTAAGCCCCGAGATCCATGCCAATATGGCCTGGGACGACATCTGGTCGGATCAAGTTTGTGCATGTTGCGACGGCGACCTCGGCCATGCCACCTGCGCCCACTTCCGGGCGGCTCCGCCCAGGCCACGACCCGGAAGGGACGGCAACCAGGATTTGGTCGAAAGTATGGTCAAATTTGCTAAGCTCGTTCCCGCCTGCGGTGCCAGTGCCGAGGCTTTGCGGCGACTGCTCCAGTTCATTTCCGCGGCCGTCTATGCCGGGGCATCCGTTGGTGCCAGCGACAATTCGTACAAGCAGAGGCCCCTCCGCGGCCGGAAGAGGCAGCTTAGGACGGATGAGGATTACAAACACCACGTCATGGTGCAGTTGCCTAAGAAGAGAGCGATCATGGGCGGCAGCATGGCGCTTGCTTGTGACTCCGACATGCGCGACGAGAGCAGGGGCAGGGATTGGTTGTGCCAGCAGGTCAACGAGTACCTCCACTCTGGATGGCACCAGTTGGCCAGTCATGGGCCTCTGCGCCGGCCCATGTCCTTAGTGGAGGATGCTGCGAGGCTGGGCAACCCGAAACAGGAGACAGAGGTGTCCAGCATCTGGATCCCCGAACTGCAGACTGGCAGGTTCCTTCCTGTACAGGCGCCCGAGGTCCAAGCAAGCCCCTTCGTTCCCAAAGCGCTGACGGAACCAAGCCCCGACGCCCCCTCAACAACGGGCGGTCGAAATCAGGGGCTGCGGGTGCGGGCGAAAAGCTGGTCGCGCAATAGTTCGTGACTGTTTGGCTGTCCGAGGTCACTTCTGGGTTGTCTGCGTGCGCGCCGAGCTATTGCATATTTTTCTTCGTATGCAATCGTTTATTTTCTTGCGTGCAATAGTTTGCTCCTATGATGCAATAGTTTGTTGCTGTGATGCAATAGTTTGGCCGTGTGTGTTTTTGCGAGCAATAGTTTGCAATGGTTCGCGCGGCCTGATGCTCTCGGGCGTCTTGGCCATGCAATAGTTCATCCGGCACATGCAATAGTTTGGCTGGGGCACGCAATAGTTTGCAATACTTGGGCGCAATAGTTGGGAGAAGTGACGCACAGCTCAAACCCACAAGCGATTGCACGAACTATTGCGCGAACTATTGCGCCCGCGCCCGGATGACCTCGGCGGCGCGCCCCGCCCGAAACGCCCCGGGGGTTACGGCGGCTTCTCCCGGCCCCCTGCCGCGCGAGGCTTTTGGGCCAGGTCCAAGACTGAGCGCGCCCGTGGTTGTTCGCCTCTTGGGCTTGCGTCTGCGACGCGGGGAATAGGGGGGCTTGCGAGTCGCCGAGGTGCTCCCAGACTTTCGTGGTTCGGACACCAAAGCACGTTCGAAACTCAAGCCCCGTTCTGTGGATTTGATCAGGGACAGGATTCGGGCCTTTCTCGAGAAGAAGAAGGCAGTCGCCAATGGCCGTGGGACTATGACGATAAAGCAAGCACGTTTGGCCAACAAGTATTCTCTCATGGCCACCGACAACGCGCTGAGGGGCGGCCTGGGTTGCAGCGGCCTGTCCGAGTTCAAGCCGTCCCACGTTGTCGGCCGACTTGGCCCCGACGAGGAGAGATACATGGTGCCGCTCGCGTCCTTGCCAGCCCCGTTGCAGGCTGGCGCCTGCAGCAGGGTCCAGAGAAGCTGCGTGAGGAACTTGACGACAGGCGTTCGGCGTCTGGAAGTTGCGTGGGGAAAGCCTCGTCCGAGCTTGCACTCAGTGATTGACATGGGCTCGATCGGTTTCCCTGCAAAGATGCACTTGTATTTCAATCCGAAGAAGGATCGCTGCATCAGAGGTTCTTTGGAGATGGACCCGGCGCACCGCAGGCACGACAATCAATTGTTGGCGATGGGCTCGGCTGGCTTGACTTTTGCACGAGACGAGGTCTTGCTGACTCAGTGTTTGACCCATGCCCCATGGGGATCCATGGCCAATTTTGGAGCTCTTTCTGAAGCCGGCGCGGAGTTCTACGACAATGGGGATTCTCAGTCGGAGCTGTTCTGCCACTTCTACCCTGCGATTGCGTTCCAGTTGCACGACGGCGTCCTTCCGCCGAACTTTAACTCTCCAGAGCATAAGGAGTGGGTTTGGGACTGCTGCCGAGAGGGCTGGATGCTCAAGACCGCAGGGGCGCAGGCCAAAGCGGGCAGGTGGTACCAAGTCTTCGAAAAATCAGCCAGGGGGCTTGCGTGGTGGAAAGTATTCGAGATGTTGCTCTGTTACATCGGCTTGCACCAGGGTTGGCTGAAACATCATAGCGATCACGTCTGCGTCCCCTTAGTTTCTACAGCTGCAGTCTTGGATGCTGCTGCTTCTGCAGGGGCACCCCGCGGTGTGGACGGCGGAGGTGCGCCTGCCGAGCGTCGGCCGGCAGGAGCGCCAGGTGCCCGGTCTGTAAGCCGATCCAATCGGTGCATTGACAAGCTTCTAGCTCGGTGCAAAAACTACTTCCACGTGGCCTACACCATATTCCGCAATGATGCTCTTCGGGCTCTCTGGATACTGATGGGCGCAGTCACCGAACCCCAGAAGAAAGCACACGGCCAGACTCTTGTGCAGTGCGAAACTAGGCAGGGGGGGAGCTTGTGGCTGCAGGACTACGCGGCCGAGGAATACATCCACGAGATCACTGATATCGTTCAGGCTGCCAACGACCGCGAGATCTTGCATCGCGCGCAGGTGTTGTCCGCGGACCCTCGGTGCGACGAGTTCCTCTTGCCGGCGGAGGTTGCTCAAGCTGTGTGTGATCACGTCTGGCAGTACGGTCTGTCCCTGGCTGGTCACGAGTTGGTATGGCTGCGAAGGTATTCCCACGAAATGCCTGGCATGTTTGCTCTGCTGGTCCAGGATCCGCCCCAGCACATGTGTAATACCTTGGTCGTTGCGCTGTTACGAAGCCACTCCTCGTTGACGATGGCGCCAGCAACGTCTTGCGTTTGTTTTTCCAGGCAGGAGCGCCCGCAGTTTGCAGCCGATGCTTCCACGAAGCCTTCTGGTTGCAAGAGTGGGCCCTTCCATACAAATCCCCTCAGGACGAACGCCGAATACTAGGCCGCCAGAGGCTTAGCGTTTGAGTTCGTTCTGGCGCAACCCTGTAGGCGAGCGTAGATCGGGCGAGGCCCCCGCCCCCCCGCAGACTGCACGACATGTCGAGGTAGGAATGTTTTAACAGGTTTCGCCAAATGTTGCGCCCGCTGGTGGAATATTCGGCAACGCGCCTCTTGCCACAGGTTGCGCCAAACGTTGCGCCGCTGTTGGGTCCGAGGTTGCGCCACTCCGCGCCCCATGGTTTGCGCCACAGGTCGCGCCCACGAGAGGCGATGTTTAATGGGGGTTGGTTGCTCACAGCGCGCCTCGGCGTCGCCCTGGCCGCCCGCCCAAATCGGCAGAACAAGGCACGCGTGATTTCGACAATTTGGCCCGCCATCTTCTTTTAGGCAGGGGGCGAGCCGCCCGTCCGATAGGGGGGGGCGCGATTTGTCCCCCCGAGTTTTGGCCGCGTTCACAGGGCGCCCCGTTTGCTTCGATTTTGCCGGCGGGTCCAATGCGGACTGCGCCCGAAGATGGTGCGGACGACGATGAGGATGAGGAGGACGAGCATCAATGAGATGAGAGTTTTGCGAACATGGACATGGATGGCAGTGGCAATGTAATCGGTGATGCTGATGACGACGGTGATGATTATGATGGCGGTGATGATGATGATGATGATGATGATGATGATGATGAGGAGGAGGAGGAGGAGGAGGAGGAGGAGGAGGAGGGGGAGGGGGAGGGGGAGGCGGAGGAGGAACAAGATGATGATGATGATATTCTAGTTGTTGAGAGGGTTGCCTGCAAGGCTTCTGCGCTTCTGTTCCTCTCTGCAGGGTGGGCGCATACACGATCCGATCGCCGCGGATCGGGGGTAGGCTTGGGCGCCCTGGCCTTGTTTCGGCCTGGTCCTCCGCCTCCCGTCCCTCCTTCTGAAAATCCATCGCCGGGCGTTCCCCCGTCGCGTGCCATAGGGTTGCGTCGATGCTGCGGCCGGCCGCGTGGCTGGATCACATCAGGCATGTAACTTGTCGCCAGCAGGTTTCGTCGCACTTCCTTGAGGGGTGGGCGCGAGCAATTTCAGTAGTGCCACAGACACCAGAGACCAGAGAACACGACTGCGGACCACGACCAACGATTACGACGAGACCCCACATACCGATCACCACGACTAAGGATCACAACCTGGGATCAGAGACGTGAGACCGCTACCAGACGCCTGAGGCCAGAGACTACGATAGAGGCAACGACCGTCAACCACAGACTGGGGATGCCCACGCATAGGAAACACTGGCGCTCCACCCCCCAACCCTGGCACGACGCTGCAAGGACCATGGCCGCACCAACATCATAAATAATCATTTTGCGAGCGTTTTCGGCGCACCCCGGGCCCCCTCGTTGACGCGTGAGGCCGCTTGGGGGGGTCAGTTTTTCCCCCGAGTCTATTGGGGCCATTTTCTTATCTCGCGGCCACTTTTTTCTCCCAGGGGCAATGCGTGACCCCCAGAGTGCAAGCAACGTTTGGGAGACATGAAGGACTTGTGACAGCCCGCAGTCTGGAGGCGGGGGAGGGCCGTGAAACGGCCAGGGCGTTGCAAGCGCGTTTCGGGATTCGCGGCAGGAGTCGACGAGGAACATTGCGCTCCCTCGTTTGCAGCAGGCTCTCACGTGTCTCACTGCGGCCGAGAAGGCAGCTGTACACAATTCGCACGTGGAGGTTGCTCTGGGCCTTCTACCTTGGTCTCGGAGTACGTGGGTTCGCGAAATTCTCGTCGGCCTGGCAGAGGCTGAATTCAAGGACGTGCCCCTTGACATTCTACAGGAACTCAACGATTGGTTGGAGGGGAACCGCTGCAGCGTTTTAGCGGAGAGGTGCTTCAACTATCTGATGGCCTTCGGCCCATTCCGCCATCGCGCCGCGGGTCGCAGGCTTCTAGGATGTTCGCCAAAATGTCGCGGGGGCCTCGCGGAGGCTTGTGGGGGGCAGTTGTGAGGTTTCTTGGTGGCCGTAGTGGGGCCTCTTGGGGCGTCTTGATGGCATTTCGGTGGCACCCTTGCATGTCTTATGGGGGCTCTCAGAGCTTCCTGGGGATACCTTGGGGCAGAGCTCGAATTGCTGGTTCGGGATCCTTGTCTTGGCCCCCAATGTGGGTCGTCTTGGGGTTCTTTGGAGCCGTCAAGGGCGCTTCCTGGGCCGTCTTGGGTCCGAGCCGTCTTGGGGTTCGCTTGGGGGCCTGTTATAAAGGGGTCTCTTGGGCCCGCCCCCGGGCCATCGTGGATGTCTTGGGCCGATCGTTCGGCGATCCTGGGCCCGCTTGCGCTGCCTCGGGGGCTTCTCTGGGTGCTCGCGAGCCGTCTCAGGGCCCCCTTGGGCCGGAAAAATCATGCGCCAATTCCGAGGATGCGCCCGACAAGTCCCGGAGATTTGGCAATGTGGAGCTTCGGCCCGCACTGCACGGCATCCTCAGGAATGGAGGCCGGGGCCCCCGGGGGTAGGCCAAAGATTTGGGGACATCCCAACGCGCGCTTCACGGCGCGGCGGCAGATCTACGCGACCGATGTAGGCATGTTAAGAGCGGCAAAATTGGAGCCAGGAAGAGGTTTCACGCTTTGGCGACGAGCACTTTGCTAGAAGATACGGACAGACCGGACAAGTACATGCCTCCGCCAGCCGAGCGGTATGCAACAGTCGACAAAGATGACGCTGATTTGTACACCGCCAAGAACAATGTCGATTTCTCTTTGGGTGAGTCGTACTTGGAGGATTTCATGAATGAGAGTTTTTCGATGTCGACCTTGAAATTTTCAGTGCGCATGTCGCGGATCACCGCCGCCCCTTTCTTTCGTAGTAGTACGCGTGTCGTTGAGCGCCCAGCCATTGCCAGTCCAAGGTGCCCATGCGTTCCCCGTCGGTCCCCCCGCAGCCGCGGATGTTCGATGGACGCTCTCGCGGGAACATCGGTGGGTGGGTGGGTGGGAGGAAGGAGGGGGCCATCTTGGCCCGTCTGGGGTAATCCAAGCCGTCATGGAGCCATCGTCGCCGCTATTGGAGGCGAGCTGAGGCTCTTCGCGGCCACTTTGGCCATCTTAGCCGCCTGGGTGCTTCCGTGAGAACAAACTGGGGCCACGCGAGCAATCGTGGAGCTATAGTCGGGCCATCTTGGAACTGTTGATGGCTGGAAAGCAGCGTGTGCCACGATGAATTGCAGTCGGCGGGGCGCGCCTGATGCGCCCGGAAAACCACGGGGCGGACAGGGGGGACTCTTAGCTTCGCGCGCGCCAGACGCCCGCGCGACAGGCCCAGAGGGGGGCCAGGTGATCGGGCGGCGCGCGGCCATGGCCGCGCTGATCTGGGGGCGTGGACCAAAAACTTCGTTGACGCGAGTTGATGCCTCTGGGTGGATGCTGGGGGTCGTGGGCGTCTTGCGAACGTCAATTAAGCTTCTCGGAAGCACGGTGGCATCTGGGGCTCCTGCCTGGCGCCTCTCAGTGGCCTCTTCGGGCCTCTTTGGGGGCGTCTCGGGGGCCTCGGGGCCTGCGTGGAGCGCGGCGCGGCAGTGGCGCGCCATGTCGGTGCCTCCAGAAGCCGCCGCGGGGTCCGTGTGGGCCCCTGTAGACAAGGGGCCGTTTTGAAACGACCGGGGGAGCGTCGTCTCCACCGCGAGGCATCCGCTCGACCGAACAGGTGTGCATGGCACACTGGCGCAATCTTTTGTTCGACTGCGATCAGGCGGCCCAAGGGCCCTCAAGAGATTCCCAGGGCGTTTTTTTTGTTGGGCCATCTCGGGATATGTCGAGTGCGCGAGCCCCAGCGGCGCCCCCAGGGATTCGATCGTGGCCGCGCGACAAATCCCAGGGGCGCGCCACGGCGCAAGCGGGCCCCCGTCGTCGCCCAAAATCTGCGAGGCAAGATTTTCGATTTGGTATTTTCTGATGTCAGTTCTGCGACGCCCATGGGGCCCGAGGCTGCCCCATTCGGCGCCTCGCGGCGCGGAGGCGGACTTGGCTTCCAACATGGTATGGGAATCTGTGCAGCAATGCCAGGACGATTGGGCCAAACTCGACATGGCGTCTACCATGTCTTTACTGCCGCGGAAATTTCACGTCTTGCACCGGAAGCCCCCCGACTCTTGCTCCATGCTCGTCCTGCGCACCCAAGAATACGCCGTGCTCGGCTTGGAGCTGCGCTTTGCGAAGCGAGGGGATCTCTGGGAGGCTGTTTTCGCCAAGAAGAACGGCAATGTTTGCCCACTTGTGCGTGCCATTTTCGATGAGGCTTGGTTGGTTCGGCCGATTCGTGTGCTGCCGCCCTCGGACCCTAGCCCGCAGGGGCCCTCCTTCCATGCCTTTCGGATGATGCTGGATCCGAAGGAGAACGCCACGCCCTTGCTTCAGGCCGCTGCCAAGGATGCCTTCAGAGGTATGAACAACGAGCACATGGTCGACCTGATCCGGAAAATGAAAGTTCCTTATGAGGGTCGAAGGCCGACTCTGGAGATTGATCTTGTGAGGTTGCTGATATCGTGGCGGTTTCCCGCCATGGAGGAACGCGAGATGGCGGATATCGTCAAGAAGCGGACGACGAAAGCCACGCCAGTCTTCACGACTGCCATGACACCCGAGAACTGCAAGGTTGTAGGCGAGGAGGGTAGTGACATGATGCAGGACAGGGAAGGTCAGACGATGAAGGAGCGCGCCGCCAAGTATGTTAACCGCATTCTTGGAGAAGCGCAGGGTCTTGCACCTGCCGGCGCATCGCCTGTCGGCGGTTCGTCGGCAAGCTCGTCGGCTGGGGGTGGGGGGGCAGGGGTTCCTCCAGGTGCCCTTCCTCTTCCGTTTCCAGCAGGGGCCCCGCCTCCCCCGTCGTGGCGTGATTTGCCGTCTTTGCCTGACGGTGCACTGACTCAAGAACAGGCCAAGGCGTACCTCCCTAGGGCCAAGGGGTGCACCATTGCAGTCAACAAGGCCACGAGCTGGGAGGTTAAATATCCTCGCGAGTCCTTCCCCAGATCACATAGTTCGGCGTTTGTCCCTGGGGACTTGGCGAGCTCCGCTGAATCTTTGCGAGTTTGTCTTCTGTGGGCGTGGAGGTGCCATAAAGAGAAGCACCCCGCAGATGTGTGCCCTTGGAATCTAGGTGCGCTGGTGTAGGGGATGTCCATTTCTCTCCCATGTGCGGGGCAGCACTGCGGGAGCAGCAAGCGCGAAGCACAATTGGCCTCATTCTCATCATCGTCTCCATTCGGGCTCGCACCCTCACCATCCATATCGTTGTTTGTTTTGCACGCGTCGCTTTACTCATATTCCAGACGCTTCGCGTCACCCCTCCAGCCCATTCAGAAACAACGCCCGTGCGAGTTAACCTGATCAGAAATGTGGAGGAGCATGCCGTGGAGTAAGGGGACGATGAAGCCGCCGCACCCCAAGTGGGGGAGGATGGGGGGGGTATCGGATGAGGGGGGGGAAGGGGGGGGGAGGGGGAGGGGGGGAGGAGGAGGAGGAGGAGGAGGAGGAGGAGGAGGAGGAGGAGCAGGAGGAGTGAAGGGGGAGGCGGGCGGATGGAAGAGGCAAAGGAGAAGGAGGAGGATAATGGGGAGGAAGGGAAGGAAGAAGAGATGATGGGGAAGAGGAGGATACGTTCAGGGGGTGCTCATACAAAGGAGGGCCGGAGCCGTGCCACTTCCCCTTGCGAAGCGAAATGCGTTAACTTAGCGGGGGCCGTGTTGGGTTTCAACTGCGCGGCGCTTCGGGCCTCTTGGATGTCTCGAGAGATTATTGGGGTCCTGTTGGGGCGTTTTGGGGGCCTCTTGGCAGTCCTACTGGCCTCGTGGAAAGTGTTGGGTGTCTCGGGCGGACCTTTTGAGGCCTCTTGGGGGTCTCTCGACGGCATCTCGGGGACCTCCTGGGATCTCTCGGGGCCTCCTGAGTGTCTCCGGGGCTTCCTTCGGAACCGTTTGAAAGCATCGAGGGCCATCTTGGCGCCGTGCTGCAGAAATTTGATCAAAGAAGGGCGCGTTTGATTAGACCCCCCCCTGGAAGCCAAAATGGGCCTGCACCGCATGAAGCTAAAGATCAGCGCCTTCTCGTCGAGGCCATGTTGGGCGCCTCAGCGACCCCCGAACCACACCGTAGGGGGACGGGGTGGGGGCAGGGATAAACGCTTCCTCGAAGAGGCAAAAACTGAAATTCAAAAAAAAACGTGAAGCCACTCGCGCCGAAAAGGCCCCAAGGTTGGTGATTTTGTTTACAGGGTGCGTTGTTTGATCACGACCGACCGTCATCACAAAAGGCGCGGCCGTCAACAGCGGCCGCAATGAATGTGCCCAAGCGTATTTTCAGACGAGAGTATCCGTGACTCAACAAGTTCCTTTTGGCATGTCAGCAAAGAGGGCAGGTGTGCGAGCGTCACCACCCGCCACATGAGTGTTGCGTCTCTCGGTTGTCCTCGAGCTTGCAGCGGCATCGTGTCGCGTTGCCCCCCTGGGTGTCCAGCGCCAGCAGCGAAATTGCATGATAACGGTCTGTTCCGTCTATGGTCAGTTTTCTCCCTCGCCGTGTTCCCTTCTTCTTTTCAATTCGTCGTTATCGTTCTTCCTTGTCCTCCTCTCTTCCTCCCCTCCCCCTCCCCCATCCCCCCCTGATCGCCGTTTCCCGTGGTTTATGTTGGCGACCTTGCGCCTGAATTTTGAAGCGCACTGTTGATCATGGTCGCCACCATGATGGTGCCCAGAATGGACATCGAACGATTGGTTGGGTAGTTTCGTTTTCCGTTTTTGATGTCGACGTTTGGCAGTTGACGTAAGTTTGGGCTGCTATTCTGGCGCCGAAAAACCAGAAGCGAATGTTAGGCGTAGATTGTCCCGCTGGCGCCCCAAATTGGGAACGATTGTGTGGCGGTGAGTCGCCGAGTTGATTCCCAGTAGCTGTCGCGAGCGGCAGCTGGTCGGTCACAAGGCCGACGCCAAACTCGGAAACCAAATAGTTGCGTAGCTCGGAAGTGTCTCGTGCCCAGTAAGTGCTAGCGCGTGGTCGGCGCAAACGGCCCTGCCGTGCATTTTTCTTCCGTTGTTTGATCGTTTTGGCGGCCCCCTCCAATCGTTCGTCATGTATTCGCCGCGCCCGCCTGCGTTGTCGCAAGGCCCGCGTTTTAGTCGGTATGGGGTCTGAACGCAAACCGTTTCATTTTTGTTGCTAGCGGCCCCCGTGTATTCAGAGATCATTTCCTTCATGCGCCCGGTAAGTCCAGCGTCGAAGAGCTTAGGCTCGCGCTGCTTTGCGCATCAGCGAATGCGGTGAGAATCTGAGGCGCTCGGAGAATAACGCGTTGAAAGATTACGGGGGGCCGGCGTGGTTATATTAGGCTTCTGAGAAATGTTCCCCATTCGGTAGAGCCCGCGCACATTGGCACTGAGTTCCCAATGCGAAGCTGCTAGAGCGGGCGCAGTCTAATGTCGCGATGGAGGTGGAGGTCGCGGCAGGCGCAAATTAGGAGGCGGAGGGGCACATATGGAATGCGTTGCGAGGTTGGGTCAGACCGCTTTGTGACCAGATTTGGCAGCGTTGTCGCCCTGGGCTGGACACAGCAAAGTAGCGCTTTCCTTTGGCGACGCACTGATATGATTTGCGTTCTGTCGCTATGCCCGGGGGCAGCGCGCATTCACAATGCTTGCCTTAGGGCGCAGTGCCTCCAACGGGATGTGCGTGGGATGTGTTGCTCGTAACATCAGGAGTCCGTGAAGGGTGCTAGGCGCCATGAACCGCAGAATGAACTATTGCGGCTGTGTTTTGCGCCCCCCTTTCGAACGACCCCCATTCCCCGGCATCAACCTGCTCAAACTGTGCCCCTGCCCCCCAGGGCTACAACAACAACGGCTCCCGCCTGAGACTTCCTCGATTTTTACTCAGGACCCCCGCTCCCGCCTGAGACTTCCGCGAATTTACTCAGGAAAGGCGCTCCCATTTGAGACTTCCTCGCAATGTAATCAAGACCCCCGCTCCCGCCTGAGACTTCCGTGCAATTTACATGGGAACGGAGCTCCCGCCATAGATTTCTTCTAATTTTACTCAGGACCCCCGCTCCTGCCTGACATTTCCGCGCAATTGACTCAGGAACGGCGCTCCCGCCTGAGACTTCCTCGCAATTTAGTGAGGACCCCCGCTCCCGCCTGAGACTTCCGTGCAATTTGCTCAGGAACGGCGCTCCCGCTTGAGACTTCCTCGCAACTTAGTCAGGGCCCCCGCTCCCGCCCGAGATTTCCTCACAATGTACTCAGGACTGCGCTCTCGCGTGCGACGTCCTCACAAATTATTCTGGAATTGCGTTTCGGCGCTCAGGAACCACGCGCGCGCCAAGGACGCCTTCACAACGTGGTATCTTCCCTCTTCCTTCGTCCTTCCCCTTCCCCTTCCTCCCACTCTCCCTCGTTCTTCCCCTCCTCCTCTTGCAGGGCCCGCGCCAATTCCAATGGCGGGCAGAGAGATGTACGCCCCCGAAGGATTGTCCGCCCGTTCCGGTTTGCCCGTACGTCTAAGCCCGCCGGCCCCAGCAAAGAGACATAATCCCCCCGAAAGGGGTGTGATCGAAGACGAAGAGGGCGGGTATCGAGGGTGTAGGGTATACGTGTTGAATGACTCGCGGGCAAGTAAGAGCGTACAGCCTTAAACTGGTTGTTGTTGTTGTTGTTGTTGTTGAACATTATTAATTCTAAAGAATAATTATTGTTGGGACCCCTGGTGCACGCCCCCCCCGCCGCGCCTAGGCCGCAGCTACATTTTCATCATTTTTTCGCGAAAGCTTCAGAAAAGTGGATGGGGTCCAGATCCGGCTGTTTTGTTGTAGTCCGTTTTCCCTTGCAAAAAACACTATAAAATGACATTTCTTGTTCTAATATAATCAAATTTCAAGAATCCCTTGCAAAAAATAAGGTAAAGTGGACATTCGCGCGCGCAAGACGAAATCCTTCCAAAACCTTAGTGTTCGTAGCGATTTTAACATAAAAAAAAAAAAAAAAAAAAAAAAAAAAAAAAAAAAAAAAAAAAAAAAAAAAAAAAAAAAAAAAAAAAAAAAAAAAAAAAAAAAACCAATGGTTTTCCCCCAAAAATGTCAAAAAATTTCATCCCGCGCGCTCTTGCGGATTCGTAGGAAACCCAACACTTTTTAAACATTTCTGTCAAACGGGCTTTTGCGAGCAACTTTTTCGAACTTCTGCAACAACGGTTGCGCACCTGCCAGGGCCATCATCCCTGTCAAATAATACCATGCGGGACACATTCGTTTTTTCTTCGCGCGCGCACGCCGTCGTCGTCGGCCGCGGGGCCCTGAATAGTAGCCACGGTCGTCCGCATGCCACGAAGTGAAGTGTCCGAACGTCATAGGGCGGGAAGCTGGGTGTGGGTGGTGGCGAAGAGTCGTTTGGAAATTTGGTAGAGCTTGAACCGGCCCCCCCACAAAGTGGGGGTATTGCCCGCCTCCTATGAAAACCCTGGCACTGGTGAGAACGGAGTGTCCCCAGTCTTAAATGATTGTTGTTGTTGTTGTTGTTGTCGTTGCTGCTGCTGCTGCTGCTGCTGCTGTTCTTGTTCTTGTTGTTGTTGTTGTTGTTGTTGTTGTTGTTGTTGTTGTTGTGGTGGTTGTTGAACTCTCATTTTTGATGAATAATTATCGCTGATCCCCTCTCACCGGTGCATGCAGTTTGTTCTAAATCAAAGTGTGCCCCTCGACGCTCGCACCCTGTTTTGGGGCAGGGAAAGTCTTGATGCTCAAACTGTGCCCCGGGCCCCCGGGTTAGACCAACAACGTGCTCCCGCCTGAGAATCCTTCACGATTTAGCCAGGACCCCCGATCCCGCCTGAGATTTCCTTGCATTTAATTCACGAGTCGTGCTCTCGCGTAGGACTTCCTGACGTGGCCCCGTTGCAGCCCTTCGTGGCACCCTCGCTGCCCTTCGTGGCCCCGGTGCAGCCCTTCATGGCCCCCTCGCTGCCCTTCGTGGCCCCCTTGCAGCCCTTCGTGGCCCCCTCGTTGCCCGTCGTGGCCCCGTTGCACCCTTCGTGGCCCCCACGCTGCCCTTCGTGGCCCCGTTGCGCCCCTTCGTGGCCCCCTCGCTGCCCTTCGTGGCCCCCTTGCAGCCCTTCGTGGCCCCGTTGCTGCCCTTCGTGGCCCCGTTGCATCCCTTCGTGACCCCCTCGCTGCCCTTCGTGGCCCCGTTGCACCCCTTCGTGGC